AAAGAGTGCTAGTCCTGTGTGCACATGTGTGTGTCTGCAAGTTCCTCGTTACGCTGGGGCTGATGTGCTTGGCTCCACAGTGGAACTCATAAACTTGGAGTAGGTCATGGACTAGCAGAGCAGCTAACTGTCAAAGTGTTTATTTGCTGGTATCCTGCCATCTTGCAACAGCCAGGGAAGCCCACTTGGGCATAGCTGGTACTTGGTAATACCGTATCCTCAAAAAGAGGTGTCATCTCATTGCAAGTGATCAAATTTTGTCATGCTTGTAAAATAGATGACTCTGAAGCTACTGTCTTAGACAAACCTGGAGCCAATTTACTAAACATAATTTATTCCAGGCTCTTTGTTGCAATAAACAGAGCTCTTAAGCCTCCTCAGACATAGAAGCCTAGCCAATAGGGAGCTGTCTGACTGAATGAGTTTTAACACATTGTTCAGCTAACGCTGGCATCTAAATGAAAAAGTCTAGCACTTGGAGACACTGAGTGGATGTCTGACGTTCCCTGGTACTGTATCATGGAGCCGCAAAGCAAAAGGACTGTCTCACTTACAAACATAGATGTTTTCAGCAGGTGGCTGATCTAATACTCATTTTAATATTTAATAATCTTTACTGACTGATTTTAAAATATTTATCAAGGAGATGGTTTTAAAATGATGAGTTCATACCACCTGAGAAAGATGAGAACAGCTGAGGGAAAATACAGTCCATTAACTAAATTGCAGGGCTATGTATGCTGAGCTCAACAACAACAGGGTCAAGCTGAAGGAATAGCATCAAATCCAGGTAAAACCAACATTTGGGCTGTTGTGACTATGACTGCTGGGAACGGAGTAGGGAAAATGGGGAGACAATAGTTTTCTATTTTAAATATCTTTACTCAGTTCTTTGTCCCTTTAGTTTCAACGTGTTTAATATTAACCTGGAAGGCTGTGTTTTGCTTTGTTTGTAGGATGAGGAAGAAGGAAAGAAAGTTTGCCCAGTAAAAAAAACCATTTTCACTAGGTGATCTAAATGGATGTACATGGAGGCTTGCTATTAAAACTACAGTGAGATCCATACATGAGCGTAAAGCACACATGGGTTAAATGCTACACTTAGTTGCAAAAAGATTGGAAAAAGTATCCCATCTACTATTAAAATTGCAAACATGCACACACAAGTTACAAGTATAAATAGATATGTATACATCCTACAGATGACTTATAATTAAAAGAGCTATACATGGGTCCAAAAGGAACATGCCTACTCTTGACTGGTTTGAACTTCAAGACTGCACCAAACTCATGAATGAGATATTGAAAACACTGTTTTAATCAAAGGGGAAATGAAAAACATATATATGAATTGGGTTAATAAATCAGAGAATAAACAAGACTAAAAGTATAATTTAGTCTTGGGGCTCACTTAGCATCCAGACTCATTCCTTAAAAAAACAAAGATGACATTGATCCAGTGCACAATGAAACTGTGGTCTTATCCTCCTTAGATAGGCATTCTGTTGATTCACAGTTCAGCCTCTTTGCTTCAATTAAGAATCTGACTTTAAAACTAAATCCTTCTAAGAACTGGTAAACAGTATCTTTCATAGCCATTCTCCCATTTATTAAGCAGCTTTTGTACTGTTTAAAGAGCAGCAAATGTTCCCCTTTGTAAAGAAAGGAAAAATATTTCTCTGAATCTACAAAAACTCCAGATCAGTATTGGTCCATTTCCCAACATTAGCACAATTAGATACTTCTGGCATTTGTCAAGTGGCTGTGCAATAAGCTAATTTTTTTCTTCATGTCTTTATTTCTTCCTTATTTTCCATTTAGATAGGACATTTCGATGGAGAAAAGTTTGGCTTTTAGACATTTGAAGACTCTTCAAAAGCCCCAGTCTTTCAAGGATACATTTATCATTTCAAAAATAAATTTTTTATTCAAAATTTTATTTTCAAATCACATTTTATATTCAAGGATCCATTGTTTATACATTCTTAAATACATTTTATATTCAAGGATATGTTTTAAAATAAATTTATAAATAAATAAATGAATTTTATATTCAAGGACACATTTTATCATTTCAAGGATAAAAATTAGTATCCACTAATTAATGGGTAGAAATATTAATAACATTATTAAAATAAATTCATGTGGGATTGTTCCCTGTGTTTATAGAAGAATCTGCATTTTAAGGAGCCATTCCATCAGCTACCAGATATCACTGCTTTATTACTAGCATCCCAGGGGCCGTGCATTTAAAACCACCTAACGTCACATTTGCTAATTAATGAAACAAAGCAAATGAGCAAAGGGGTGTGAAGCAGTTATGTAGCTTACCCAAAACTAAAAGAGAACCCAAGGCCAAGCTTCTCCAATATGTTATTTTCATTACAACTCATTCACTCATTAGACTGAATGGAAGGAACTATAGAAACTATCAGGCAGCATGAAGTATTTAAAAAATATCTACAGCCTTGGTTGGCATCCAAATCAAGGAGAAGCCAACACAAATAAAGTCCCTTGAGGCACTAAATGAAAAGTGTGGAGTTGATATCCAACAAACGGATGCTGAAAACTGCCTCCCTCCAAGTGTCAGGGGTTTTGTAGCACTCCTAGCAGAGACAGAGCATTTAGACAACACCTGCAGCAGTGAGATGGGTTGGCTCAGCTCTGGAACGAGTGGGTAGAGAGAGAAAAGGCAGGAAGCCCTGCCTACGGAAGCACCTTGGCCCGCTATTGAGAAAATAACGAGAAGCCAAAAAAATGTCA